GGGGGTAGGTTCTCATAAAGGAGATATTCAACGTAAGCTTGTCCAAGATGCTAATTATTCATTCAGAAATCATCACCGTAATTATTTGCCATCATCAAAACGTACGTAATTGTTTGTCAACCTTACTGAAACAAACAATTAAACAAACGAACAAACAAACAAAACGAATCATAACAAAAACTGAGGCTGTGTCCCCAGACATCAGCAGTTAATAAAGAAATGTGAGGCAACCTGAGGGAATCAGGCTCTCGTCAATTTTTGGGCATGTAGAGTTATTGGTATCATCTTAAAGCTTGTTCACTTGTCTTTATTTGGATGAAAAAAATATCCATTTATATTTAATACAAGTCGAGATATTTGTGAATGAAGGAGGTGGGGGTCACCTGTTTTCAGAGGCAAAATTAGTGGGAAAATGGCCGCCAAAGATTAGTTATTAATTCAGCTTAAAAGTCCTTGGTAACTGAAAATTTACATTTTTGTGCCTTTAATCAACGTTTTTCAGAAAAATGCACACAAAAATGAGTTCTTTATTGAGCATGAAAGGTGTTGAGCCAAAAAACAAAAATTTGATAAAAATTCACAAACCTGCGGAAAAATGCAGGTTTCTTTATTTTGATTATTTTGACGAGAGCCTGATTCCAATACGCTGCCTCACAAATTCCATTTTAAAGAAAGTTCCACAACGTGCAAGGCAGATAATCCAGCAAAACAAAAATACCATTAGGATTTGATAGTGACAATTACTTCCCTTGTCTGAAGTTTGAATTAAACAAGGTGAAGTCCCTTTGTTGTATCAAGTTTAAAAATAATTATGGGTTTTTTTTTTTAGATCAGAGCGATCTGGTAACTTTCAAAGGTTTTCAGGATCACCCGGAGAGTAATATTTAATGTTTTAGTATGCCCCGCCTGCAAACACATGTAGGTGGGCGGTGTGAAAATTGTAGAAAATAATATAATGTGCTTGCTATAACAACAACAAAATTTTTTTTTTTAAACCCAGTTGACGAGCACTGATTTGGATCATCTTCGAGGCGGGCTTCTCAAAGGTGGCCAACTAGACACCAGCAATAAAAAGGGCTTAAAATAACAATGCGAGCAAGAAAAGGCAATTATTCAACTGCATATAATCGAATTGCTGTTGCAGCAGATCTCTTCTGTATATTTTTGTGTGTATGTGTATGTGTGTGGATGTGGATGTGTACGTGTACATGTGTATGCATATTATGTGAATGTTTGTTTGTGTGTTTGTGTGTGTGTACGTGTGTTTGTGTATGTGTGTTTGTGTAAGTGTGTATGTGTGTTTGTGTGTGTTTGTGTGTGTGTTTGTGTGTGTGTATGTGTGTGTGTTTGTATATGTGTGTTTGTGTGTGTGCTAGTGATTGTGCACATGTGTAAGTGGGTATATTATGTGTGTTTTTGTGTGTTTGTGTATGTGTGTTTGTATGTGAGTGAATGTAATTCAGTGATTGTGATTGTGGGAGTGTATGTTGTGTATGTGTGATTAGTGTGTGAAAGTGTGTATGTGTGTGTGTGTGTGTGTGTGTGTGTGTAAGTGTGTGTAAGTGTGTATGTGAGTAAGTGTGTATGTCTGTATGTGTGTTTATGTGTGTGTGTGTGTGTGTGTGTGTGTGTGTGTGTGTGTGTGTGTGTGTGTGCTACTTTGACAGAACGTTCATCTACTAGGGTGAGTCAATAAGTAATGCAAGTTCGTTAATAACTTAAGAAAATAGAACACACTTGCAACTATCATACCTCAAATTGAAGAGGAGTATCCAAGGATCAGATTTTCATTTTTCAATATAGTCTCCTTTTCGTTCAATAGCCACTGTCCACCTTTTGCTAAGTCCACATAATATGCCAGCTTTGTAAAACTTATCAAATTGGTCTTAGGGCTAGAGCAGTCTTGATTTCTCCATAGTTTCCTAAATTATGTTGACCTGTCAATGGTTCTTTTCAAGGACCGAGAAGGTGAAAGTCTAAAGGAGCCAAATGCAGGAGAATAAGTTTGGTGTTTTCCACATAAACGGGGTGATTGTCTCCCTTGTTCTGGTACTCGAATGCAGGTGGGCATTGTTATGGTAAGAAAAATACTCTTTCAATGTTCAAATTTCGTCTGATTCGTCGAATTCTCACTTTCAGTCGTTTCAGTGTTTCAATGTAGGATTCAGAATGGACAATTGTTTCTCGTGGTAAAAAAAATAATCTGTCAGAAGCACACTATGAAGGTCCCGAAACACAATTGCCATGATTTTTCCTTCTGACTCCTCCGGACGACGCTTGTCTAACAACCATATGGACACTTCTTCCTCTACTTCTGGTTCATTGTTCAAACGTCTATATACAGTGCCAAAATCTAGAGCTTTGTCCGTGTCAACATTTTGAAGTCTCTTTTTTATGTTATCAGTAGATTCTCCTTCTAAAACAAGAAATTCAATCACGCTCTTTTCCTCAGACAGACCTTTAAGAGGGTAGCCATTTTGATGTGACGTCATTCTGGCCAAAATTAAAGAACTTTAAATTTTAACAGTTTGAGTTCGGAAGTACATGAGCAAGTACATGTAAGCTGAATTCCATTAAATCCGATGCAAAATTGCTCAAAATAGCGAACAACTTGCATTACTTTTTGACTCCCCCTCGTAATATCCTGACAGTGGTCAAACAAAATGAAATTAACTGAAACTTCTATTTCTTCAGCTGACGAGACTTGGGGCCAAATTTCTCTACGTGAGTGGAATCCTTGTGGGCGGGGTTTGCAGCATCTTGTTTGGGTGAGTTACAGCAAAGATGGTTACAGTGAGTACGTTCACAGGAACCACACAACACAAATGAATACTTGTGTTTGCTTTGTTGTTGTTTGT